AGTGCAACGTCGTCAGCAAACATCGTGATCAAGACAAGAAAAGTACTCGCGATCATGTTACGTGTACCACAAGCGAACGCCGTCAATTTTGTGCTCGCACGTAGACGACAAAAACAGTTGTGTCAACATACCTCGTCAGAGGCAAGATCGGTTGCATGCGGAAGTTTCTCTCACGCGTACATGTACAGTGTCTGTCCGTGCAATATTGCCTGCACGCACGACAAAATGTTCTTGCAGATTTGTGAGCAAGCACGACAAATAAACTACTTGTTAAGGTCGTGTTACATTTTTCGAATTCGCTGAAAGTCCGAACGGTGGTCAAGACGCATGAAAAGATTGGGACGTCGCGCGGTCGCGTTACGACCAATGCGATTTCATTATTAAGCCAAACGAAGCACGCGACGTCGTTTAGACCCTGACGAACTCACTGCCGAGATTGATTTCGTAACCACACAGTCGTCCGGACGGTATCACGCCTTACCGAGGAAGATAAGGTACACCTCTGCAAAGGCACGATCGGTTGGCTGACGTAACTTCTGCAAACGCTGACGAAACTTATGCGAACAATGTTGTATGTCATGGAAACGATGTTTTTTTTTTTTTTTTTTTTTTTTTTTTTTTTTTTTTCTTGGATCAGACACAGAAGGCAAAACAAGATTGACAAAGACACTGTGCAGAACGGACAAACACCTGCTTGTTCGTGCGCAGAACCTGCTTGTCAGGGACTGTGCGTAAAACTTGTTTTCTGGGTGTCTGAAGTGAACGTCGACCTCCCCGACGAAACTGTAGGGAATGTCGATGAATCTTGACGGTCGGAATTCTCGATCCGAGGGTGGAAATTCGCCGACATCCCCCGACGAAACTGTAGCGTCCGTCGACGTTTCACTTCAGACACCCCCTTATGCGCAGTAGCCCACAACTTTTGTTGCCATATGTGACGCGCGTGCATCTGGCCATGCTGGTCGTGTGCAACGCACCTTTGTCAGCGTGCTCGAGTAACTGTACACGTGCACCCACGATAGAGGTTTGCTGCTCACGCAGTGTTTTTGTTAAGCATGGGATCCATTGTAGTGTAAATTTCTTTTGCAACACTTGTGTCTTCTTTCTACCTTGTGCACGGGGTGAGTTTGCTTTTGCACATCATGTTTTCTGTTCGCATCTTTTGTTAAGCATAGGGTCTGTAGGGTCTGGAAACCTTTAAAATGACAAAATACATCGTGTGCATACCTACACCTCGTCTGTACTTTTACACAACAAAAAAAAAAATCTCGTACGGACGCATATATTTTCGTGTTCGTCACAGGCGTAAAGAGAAATGTACTTGCCGACGACAAAATTTCTCACACCGACGCAGTTACTGTATTTTTGAGTTCACACGAAGACGACAAGATACAACCGTGTGCACGCTGTACCTGACTTCGTCAGATGCATGATCTATTGAATGTTTGATAATTGTTGCATAACTTCGCCTACAAAATATACGAATTTCTTTCACGTGCATTCTCATGTTTGCCTAGTTGTTAGTGGGTAGAGTTGGGTGTGCATAATCTGCGTACATTGGGTCTGGAAAAAAACTTAAAAGCATAGTGTACTTGGGTTGGAAAGTGTCTTGCTCTGTTTATGTTCTACGTTGTGCACTAGTAACAGAGGACCGACCAAGGTTCTCTGCTTCGGCTCGGACCACCTTGTCCACGATGTTGAAGTCAGGATGCTTGGCGGCAGCATCCTTGGCCGCCAAGGCCTCCCTGCAAGACAACAGAACGTAACATTAGCACGGGTATTTAAAAAAAATATACATGGAAAACACGAAGCAACAACTCTTTCCTGTGCGCGATGCAGTGGGACGACACAAGATGAGGAACCTTGACTTTCAGGCGCGCGGTGACTCCGTTGTGCTGTCCAAGCATGACAGAAGCACCATCAGTGCTCATACCCGTGAGGCGCATGAGGTCGATGCCGGTACTCTCCAGATGCGTCAGGAGAACTGTAGTGAGAGACGCAGCATCACACTGCTCCACACTGAGCAAGGCGAAGAACTTAGTGACGGGAGCGTTGTCACGCATGAACGTCAAATAGACGATCATGTGTTTCCCCCGCCGACGGTCGGTGCTTTCGTCCAACTGGATGCCAAGGTACGGACTGTCGCGGATGTGCTTCAGCTGGCGGGACTTCAGGTAGCACACCATGGTCTCGACCAGTTGTGCGAAGCCGTACCTGAGACACGCAGGTAGAAAAATAGTTAGCTTTGTAAACTCACGGACCACAAAGCATAACATAACAACGGGACACTTACTCGCTGTAGTACGTCCCGTTCTCCTTTAGGGGCAGATCCGGAGTCCCCTGCTCTGCCATGAACTGAACCAAAGCCACGAATAGCACAATGGGAGCGTCAGACTTGCAAATGAACAACACGATAGCCATCAAGCGAGCAATACGCTTGACATCAGCGTCCCCACGGTGGAAGTCAGCAATGGACTTCTGCACTTTCTTCACGCCGTCGCGCTCCTCCTTCCTCAAGACCGCGGCCTCGTGTTTCAGATTGTGGTGATGCTTGCGCATCGTCTGCTTCTGAATGTCGATGCCGCCATCGCCGTTACGCCCGTATTTGTAGTTCGGGTCACCGAAGACCATGCAGACGCTGCAGCGCATGCAGGGGCGGCCGGCCTTGTTTTCGGAGATGAGGAGCCAAGGAAAATACCGCTGCCACTGCTGCTTGCACTTCAACTGAAGCTCCTCAACCGACAGTTGCTTGCCCTTCGGGTCTTCAAAGTCTTCCTTCGCGGGTTCTGGTTCAGGTTCGGCGGGTCGCGGAAGCACTGACGGTGCTGGCTGAGTCGGACCGCCCGGACGGCCGACGGTGAGAACCCGCTGCTTATACCGCTTCTTTAGAGATCTGTCGGGCAACACGGGGTTAGCACTGAGAGAGGTGGTAGCGACAGATACTGGAGGGATGCTCTTATTTGCACCGTTGTCAGGCATCGGAGTGGATACTAGCGTTGTTGGGGTAGTGGTTGCTGGCACAGAATGATCGCCATTTACCGAGATTGGAGCATCGTTTTCGGGCAAAGGGACCGCAGCAGAGGTCGACGCAATCGGAGGGGCAGCAGGAGCGATCTGCTTGCCCCGCGTTAGGAAGTCTAGGGCGGAAAGGACGGGCTCCGCATCGCATGGTCCGCCGGCGGGGACGGCCATAGTCTAAACGCTGGGAAATCAGAAGCTGGGAGGGAAACGATCCATGCTCGGCTGAGCGAGAGTTGAGGACGAGCAGGAGAAACAGGCTTGTTTTCAAGCCTGACCCAGCTGCATGAAACCCCATCACCGTGCACTGCATTCAGAACCGAAAGGCGGTGCGTATTGGGAGCGGGGGGCACTACGACCACAGTGCAATGTTGCGTGACGTCTAGGAAAAGCTTGTGCGCTGGCACAACGGGACAGCGCATTGCCCTGGCTGTGGCTGGCATCGGCGCCGACAGCCAGCCACACGACAAACTCCTGGCAGCATATGCCGTAGTTACATGCCAGCGAGGCTGCTATAAGACACGCGTAATGAATGCGCGTGCTGTTACAGGGCAGCAAATGGCTGTACCTGTGGTGGTCCTATCCTCTGGTCCACTGGGCATATGGCCTAGTGGGTCAAGATGTCGGTTTCAGACGAAACCGAACTCGATATCTGTGTATTCAGATTAAGAGTTCTACACGTCTGGAAAAATCATACGAACTTAAAACGCTAATCTTACTGATCAGATGAGAACAAACACAAATTCTTAGGAAGCAGATGAATACAAAAAAACAAGTCTTAAACTCAGACCATCAGACCAAATTGGTCTGATAACGAGAACCCTGATTGCCGAAGACGTGCCATAGCACAACCAATAAACGTACATGATTGCAAGAGTGGCACTGCATGATTGCAAGAGTGGCACTGCATGATTGCAAGAGTGGCACTGCATGATTGCAAGAGTGGCACTGCATGATTGCAAGAGTGGCACTGCATGATTGCAAGAGTGGCACTGCATGATTGCAAGAGTGGCACTGCATGATTGCAAGAGTGGCGCTGCATGAACTTGTAAATGCTTTTTGCTTTGCGTTCCAACTTGCCATCCATCTCGGCCAGCATATCAATCATTTCGTCAAACAAAGAGACCTCTGCTTCGAATCACACGCTATCTCAAGTTCTGTACAACCTCCAGCAGCATAGCCATGACAGCTGAGTGCTGCCGCAGGTGCGGGAGTAGGAGGGCCAGCAGCAGCGGCAGCGGGAGGGGCGGGGAGAGCGGTGCCGGAGAGGAAGCGGCAAAGGCAGGTGGGGAGCACGAGGTCATAGCCGTGTGCAAGGCGCGGCCCAGTGAGAGTGGAGAGGGGAAAGCGAATGCAAGGAGGAAGAGCGGGAAGAGTTGTCTGCCTGGTTGCTCCTGCGTGGTGTGTGCCAATGGCCTGCTCATGCTGCCTGATGCTTCTGCTGCTGCTGCCCCCGCCAAGTGTGATTCCTGCTGCTCCTGTTGCCGCCACAGGAGCAGGGCCCGGCGCGAGTAGTCTTCCAGGTGTTGGCGCAGGAGGGGGGAGGTTGAGTGAGAGCGGGTGCGGTGAGTGGGTGCAAGCAGGTGGCGGTGGAGGGTGGAGCAGAGGGAGCGGAGAAACAGCGGGCTCACGGTGGGAGATTGGGGAGGGCTGGCGCGGTGGGAAAGGGAGGGCGAGGAGAGTGCACGGAGCGATGGAATGAAGGCTTCCACCACCTGGGATGATGTAATCAGGGCGAGGTGTGGGGGGGGGGGGGGGGGGGGGGGGCAGGCACGGGTGGATTGGAGGAGAGCAACTCGTAACTTTTCAAACGGGCCCAGACAGTTCAAAAGGGGAGTAGAAGTGAGTGTGATGGGGAGAAGCGTGGGACGGAAAGGAGTGACATTGAGGCACAAGCACAGAGCCACGCATGCTCGGAGCCCGTGCCTTGGGCCCTGAAACCTGAGAAACGACCAGAGCCCACGTGTTGCCATATGCCACTGTTACGGTGCCTTTGGTCCAATCCCAGTGGCGCTCCTGCTCAGGGTGACTGATGTGCCAGCGATACCACAAGTCGCCCCTTGACCCTCGGCTTTGCAATGCTGTGTGGAGGGAGATGATGTGGCGGGTGAGAGGCAGGAGGAGGTCACCTGGAAGGAGGAGACGAGGCAGGACAGTGCGGAGCCACAGGTGGCGTGCGAGCGAGGCAGCGAGCGCACAGCATGGCAGGTGGTGGCGAGAGAGAGGAGGACCTGCCGGGGGGGAGGTGGGGTAGAGAGAGGGCACGTGTGAGAATGGATGGATTCGGAAGCGACCACGTAACAAAGATTGCTATGGATGTTGTAGAAGAAGAGTCTGAGAACATTTGGTCACAGAGAGGGTGGGGAATTTGAATTGAGTGAATCCAAGCACACACAAGGTGCAGTGTGCTGCGGTGCAGTGTGGTGTGCTGTGGTAAGGTGTGGTGTGGTGTTCTCACCTCCAGCAGCTCCGGCTGCTCCGCTGTTTGCGCCATGAGCAGCGCTGCCTGGCAGGCCGATGAGAAGCCCTCATGGCTGCACACAGATCAGGGAGGGAGGGAACAGTGAGAGCAAAGGACGGTGGGCGGAAGTGCTAGTTAGAATTTGCCCCATTAGTTGTATCATACATCCGCGAGATATGACTTGGGTAGGAATTAACATCCAGAATCATCTTGGGTGTATAATTAGGAATTATCCTAATTGAGGGGTTGGAGGTCAAACCTAGGCTCCGACATTGTGCCCCCAAATGGTTGGGTTCACAGTAATTGGAGGCCCAATAACCCTGGCACTACTCAACCAAGATAATTGGACCCTTCAATCTTTGGGGACCCCATCATATTACGGAGACCAATAATTGAGCCACAGCCATAACCCAACTCCCTTCCAGCTCCTCACCTATCTATACCCCAACTTTCCTTGATCAGACTATCATTCAGTTTTCTCGCACGAAGCGAGCAGACAGATTGACAGATGGGTGCATGGAGGTCGGACTGCCAGCGAGCAGAGCCAGGCTGTGAATATGAGTGATGGATGGAGTTGTGGTGTGAGGAGAGAGGAGTGGGTGAGTGGTGGAGAGGAAAAGAATTAGGGGGGCAGCGGTTATGGGTAGGCCACCCACCGAGAGAACGAGTATGGTGGAGCAGCAGTGGGGGGCAGGAGGCGGCAGAAGAGGCGGCGGAAGGCAGAGAGGACGGGGTCAGCCACTGGCAGGGCGGCTGCCATGCTCCGCGCTGAGGTGGGCGGCGACTGGCCGGGCGAGGGCGAGGGGAATGTGTGGAGGGACGTGTATGAGATGATGGGAGTGAGAGGATTGGTGGGCCGTGACTGTGTAGAGGGAGTGAAGAGTGCAAGTCTCAAGTGCTGTACTGGAGTAGAAAGTGGGGGACGGGCAGCGAGCGAGCGGGGCTGAGAGCATGCACGCACACATGAGTGCTCAGCTCACCTCCTCTCCCATGTGGGACCCGTGGCCTCCCCCCTCGCCCTCTGCTTCTGCCCCACCGCTGCCACCCTGTGCCCCACCGCTGCCACCCTGTGCCCCGCGCCCCTTCACCAGCAGCACCAGATGCCGTCCCCCACTGACCTCACCACCTACACCCGCTCCCATTACCCACCCCACCGCCCTCCGCCCCCCACCCCCCACTGCAGCAACTGCACCATGCCCCCCTCGCCGCCTCCCCCTCGTGGCTAGCAGGGACGGGCGGGAAGGGTCTGCAGTGAGGGGGTAAGGAGAGGGAGAGGAGAAAGGGGTCGGGAGCAACTGTAAGATAGAGCGCAGGGATGAAAGTAGAGAGGGAAGGTGAAGGAAAGGAGAATCATGAATGGGCAGAAGTGATGAAAATGGGGGAGCAAGGAGAAATGGAATCGGGAAGGAAGGAGGACAGTTGCCACAGGGAAAACTCTGATGAGGAGCGGCAGATGAGGGGTGGATATTATACATGGTAGCACTTGGTACGTACAACACACCTCACATGGCATGCCACATGCGATTTCACATGCAAACTCACAAGCCACCGACATGCATGCCACATGCATGCCCCATGCATGCCACATGCATGCCCCATGCATGCCCCATGCATGCCCCATGCATGCCCCATGCATGCTCCATGCATGCCCCATGCATGCTCCATGCATGCCCCATGCATGCCCCATGCATGCCCCATGCATGCCACACAGTATTCGGACCTGCTATTCTGGCAGCAACTCGCAGAGGCCAGAAGTTGCGTCCACACAGCCGCAGCTCCCTCAGCTACGGGAGGGGGAGGGGGTGGGGGGGGGGTGGGGGTGGGGTTGGGGGAATGGGGGGAGAAGGACAAGGAGGACGAGAGGGAGGCAGGGTAGTGGGAACGATGGGGTGACAGCCTGACAGCAGGCAGGAATGCGAGTGTGGGCCCAAGAGGCTGTTGATTCTTGCCACCGCATCCCCCAGGCCCTGCCTGTCACTGCCAGAGTCACTCCACACGTGCTTGCAACCGCCACTGGCTGGGGTCACACTGAACAAGCCTGTTCGCATCGTATTTTTTTTTTTCTAAGTAAAAACACGGCAATGCCCTGTTTGCAATGGCTTGCACGAACGATTAATTCGAGAAACTCAAGTAAAATCAGTAGGTGCGGCTGGAATGAAAGATTTGCTGTGGGAAAAAGATATGCTTGGGTTTGCGGCGATTTAAGCCAAGTCAGACCCGGGCCGGTTCAACACCGGCCGACCAGAAAAGAAAAAGGTTTGAGTCTGGGTGGACAATGCGCGGCCATTGAGCTTAAACATTTGCTTATGTACACCCCATGTGCATTTGCTTCCAATTGCTGCCCTTTTCCCGACACCTCAGCAGCACCTAATGGAAAAAGAGTGACCACCTGAAGAAAACGGAGAGAGCACCTGAGGCAGCGGTGGCAGCAGGCACGGCGTGTGCAGCGACAGAGTGGTAGGAGTGGACGAGTCAGAGGGCTTGAGGGTGAGGCGCAGTGGGGCAATGACAGGCTGCCACGTGTCCACATCCACTGCCTCCACGAACGCCCTCTCCTCCACCGCCAGCACCCAGAAATGCCGCAACGCCTGGCAGGGAGGGGGAGGGGAGAGAGAGCAAGATTGGTGAGGGGTGAGAGCAAGATTGGTGAGGGATGAGAGCAAGATTGGTGAGGGGTGAGGGGTGAGGGGTGAGGGGTGAGGGGTGAGGGGGAGGATTCTTAGCAAGCAACCTCATGCCTTCACTCCACTCGTCCGCCCTTGTCTATCTGTTGAGGGGGGTGAGAGGCATGCGCTGTGCAACCCTCGACTGGTGACGGTCGCTAAACTGGCGGGGTGGTTTGTGCAACCAGAGAATTTTGATGCCCGCACAAGCACGCTCTTCCCTCCGCACAAGCACGCTCTTCCCTCCGCACAAGCACGCTCTTCCTTCCGCACAAGCACGCTCTTTCCGCACAAGCACGCTCTTTCCGCACAAGCACGCTCTTCCCTCCGCACAAGCACGCTCTTCCCTCCGCACAAGCACGCTCTTCCCTCCGCACAAGCACGCTCTTCCCTCCGCACAAGCACGCTCTTCCCTCCGCACAAGCACGCTCTTCCCTCCGCACAAGCACGCTCTTCCCTCCGCACAAGCACGCTCTTCCCTCCGCACAAGCACGCTCTTCCTCCGCACAAGCACGCTCTTCCTCCGCACAAGCACGCTCTTCCTCCGCACAAGCACGCTCTTCCCTCCGCACAAGCACGCTCTTCCCTCCGCACAAGCACGCTCTTCCCTCCGCACAAGCACGCTCTTCCCTCCGCACAAGCACGCTCTTCCCTCCGCACAAGCACGCTCTTCCCTCCGCACAAGCACGCTCTTCCCTCCGCACAAGCACGCTCTTCCCTCCGCACAAGCACGCTCTTCCCTCCGCACAAGCACGCTCTTCCCTCCGCACAAGCACGCTCTTCCCTCCGCACAAGCACGCTCTTCCCTCCGCACAAGCACGCTCTTCCTCCGCACAAGCACGCTCTTCCTTCCGCACAAGCACGCTCTTCCTTCCGCACAAGCACGCTCTTCCTTCCGCACAAGCACGCTCTTCCTTCCGCACAAGCACGCTCTTCCTTCCGCACAAGCACGCTCTTCCTTCCGCACAAGCACGCTCTTCCTTCCGCACAAGCACGCTCTTCCTTCCGCACAAGCACGCTCTTCCTTCCGCACAAGCACGCTCTTCCTTCCGCACAAGCACGCTCTTCCTTCCGCACAAGCACGCTCTTCCTTCCGCACAAGCACGCTCTTCCTTCCGCACAAGCACGCTCTTCCTTCCGCACAAGCACGCTCTTCCTTCCGCACAAGCACGCTCTTCCTTCCGCACAAGCACGCTCTTCCTTCCGCACAAGCACGCTCTTCCTTCCGCACAAGCACGCTCTTCCTTCCGCACAAGCACGCTCTTCCTTCCGCACAAGCACGCTCTTCCTTCCGCACAAGCACGCTCTTCCTTCCGCACAAGCACGCTCTTCCTTCCGCACAAGCACGCTCTTCCTTCCGCACAAGCACGCTCTTCCTTCCGCACAAGCACGCTCTTCCTTCCGCACAAGCACGCTCTTCCTTCCGCACAAGCACGCTCTTCCTTCCGCACAAGCACGCTCTTCCTTCCGCACAAGCACGCTCTTCCTTCCGCACAAGCACGCTCTTCCTTCCGCACAAGCACGCTCTTCCTTCCGCACAAGCACGCTCTTCCTTCCGCACAAGCACGCTCTTCCTTCCGCACAAGCACGCTCTTCCTTCCGCACAAGCACGCTCTTCCTTCCGCACAAGCACGCTCTTCCTTCCGCACAAGCACGCTCTTCCTTCCGCACAAGCACGCTCTTCCTTCCGCACAAGCACGCTCTTCCTTCCGCACAAGCACGCTCTTCCTTCCGCACAAGCACGCTCTTCCTTCCGCACAAGCACGCTCTTCCTTCCGCACAAGCACGCTCTTCCTTCCGCACAAGCACGCTCTTCCTTCCGCACAAGCACGCTCTTCCTTCCGCACAAGCACGCTCTTCCTTCCGCACAAGCACGCTCTTCCTTCCGCACAAGCACGCTCTTCCTTCCGCACAAGCACGCTCTTCCTTCCGCACAAGCACGCTCTTCCTTCCGCACAAGCACGCTCTTCCTTCCGCACAAGCACGCTCTTCCTTCCGCACAAGCACGCTCTTCCTTCCGCACAAGCACGCTCTTCCTTCCGCACAAGCACGCTCTTCCTTCCGCACAAGCACGCTCTTCCTTCCGCACAAGCACGCTCTTCCTTCCGCACAAGCACGCTCTTCCTTCCGCACAAGCACGCTCTTCCTTCCGCACAAGCACGCTCTTCCTTCCGCACAAGCACGCTCTTCCTTCCGCACAAGCACGCTCTTCCTTCCGCACAAGCACGCTCTTCCTTCCGCACAAGCACGCTCTTCCTTCCGCACAAGCACGCTCTTCCTTCCGCACAAGCACGCTCTTCCTTCCGCACAAGCACGCTCTTCCTTCCGCACAAGCACGCTCTTCCTTCCGCACAAGCACGCTCTTCCTTCCGCACAAGCACGCTCTTCCTTCCGCACAAGCACGCTCTTCCTTCCGCACAAGCACGCTCTTCCTTCCGCACAAGCACGCTCTTCCTTCCGCACAAGCACGCTCTTCCTTCCGCACAAGCACGCTCTTCCTTCCGCACAAGCACGCTCTTCCTTCCGCACAAGCACGCTCTTCCTTCCGCACAAGCACGCTCTTCCTTCCGCACAAGCACGCTCTTCCTTCCGCACAAGCACGCTCTTCCTTCCGCACAAGCACGCTCTTCCTTCCGCACAAGCACGCTCTTCCTTCCGCACAAGCACGCTCTTCCTTCCGCACAAGCACGCTCTTCCTTCCGCACAAGCACGCTCTTCCTTCCGCACAAGCACGCTCTTCCTTCCGCACAAGCACGCTCTTCCTTCCGCACAAGCACGCTCTTCCTTCCGCACAAGCACGCTCTTCCTTCCGCACAAGCACGCTCTTCCTTCCGCACAAGCACGCTCTTCCTTCCGCACAAGCACGCTCTTCCTTCCGCACAAGCACGCTCTTCCTTCCGCACAAGCACGCTCTTCCTTCCGCACAAGCACGCTCTTCCTTCCGCACAAGCACGCTCTTCCTTCCGCACAAGCACGCTCTTCCTTCCGCACAAGCACGCTCTTCCTTCCGCACAAGCACGCTCTTCCTTCCGCACAAGCACGCTCTTCCTTCCGCACAAGCACGCTCTTCCTTCCGCACAAGCACGCTCTTCCTTCCGCACAAGCACGCTCTTCCTTCCGCACAAGCACGCTCTTCCTTCCGCACAAGCACGCTCTTCCTTCCGCACAAGCACGCTCTTCCTTCCGCACAAGCACGCTCTTCCTTCCGCACAAGCACGCTCTTCCTTCCGCACAAGCACGCTCTTCCTTCCGCACAAGCACGCTCTTCCTTCCGCACAAGCACGCTCTTCCTTCCGCACAAGCACGCTCTTCCTTCCGCACAAGCACGCTCTTCCTTCCGCACAAGCACGCTCTTCCTTCCGCACAAGCACGCTCTTCCTTCCGCACAAGCACGCTCTTCCTTCCGCACAAGCACGCTCTTCCTTCCGCACAAGCACGCTCTTCCTTCCGCACAAGCACGCTCTTCCTTCCGCACAAGCACGCTCTTCCTTCCGCACAAGCACGCTCTTCCTTCCGCACAAGCACGCTCTTCCTTCCGCACAAGCACGCTCTTCCTTCCGCACAAGCACGCTCTTCCTTCCGCACAAGCACGCTCTTCCTTCCGCACAAGCACGCTCTTCCTTCCGCACAAGCACGCTCTTCCTTCCGCACAAGCACGCTCTTCCTTCCGCACAAGCACGCTCTTCCTTCCGCACAAGCACGCTCTTCCTTCCGCACAAGCACGCTCTTCCTTCCGCACAAGCACGCTCTTCCTTCCGCACAAGCACGCTCTTCCTTCCGCACAAGCACGCTCTTCCTTCCGCACAAGCACGCTCTTCCTTCCGCACAAGCACGCTCTTCCTTCCGCACAAGCACGCTCTTCCTTCCGCACAAGCACGCTCTTCCTTCCGCACAAGCACGCTCTTCCTTCCGCACAAGCACGCTCTTCCTTCCGCACAAGCACGCTCTTCCTTCCGCACAAGCACGCTCTTCCTTCCGCACAAGCACGCTCTTCCTTCCGCACAAGCACGCTCTTCCTTCCGCACAAGCACGCTCTTCCTTCCGCACAAGCACGCTCTTCCTTCCGCACAAGCACGCTCTTCCTTCCGCACAAGCACGCTCTTCCTTCCGCACAAGCACGCTCTTCCTTCCGCACAAGCACGCTCTTCCTTCCGCACAAGCACGCTCTTCCTTCCGCACAAGCACGCTCTTCCTTCCGCACAAGCACGCTCTTCCTTCCGCACAAGCACGCTCTTCCTTCCGCACAAGCACGCTCTTCCTTCCGCACAAGCACGCTCTTCCTTCCGCACAAGCACGCTCTTCCTTCCGCACAAGCACGCTCTTCCTTCCGCACAAGCACGCTCTTCCTTCCGCACAAGCACGCTCTTCCTTCCGCACAAGCACGCTCTTCCTTCCGCACAAGCACGCTCTTCCTTCCGCACAAGCACGCTCTTCCTTCCGCACAAGCACGCTCTTCCTTCCGCACAAGCACGCTCTTCCTTCCGCACAAGCACGCTCTTCCTTCCGCACAAGCACGCTCTTCCTTCCGCACAAGCACGCTCTTCCTTCCGCACAAGCACGCTCTTCCTTCCGCACAAGCACGCTCTTCCTTCCGCACAAGCACGCTCTTCCTTCCGCACAAGCACGCTCTTCCTTCCGCACAAGCACGCTCTTCCTTCCGCACAAGCACGCTCTTCCTTCCGCACAAGCACGCTCTTCCTTCCGCACAAGCACGCTCTTCCTTCCGCACAAGCACGCTCTTCCTTCCGCACAAGCACGCTCTTCCTTCCGCACAAGCACGCTCTTCCTTCCGCACAAGCACGCTCTTCCTTCCGCACAAGCACGCTCTTCCTTCCGCACAAGCACGCTCTTCCTTCCGCACAAGCACGCTCTTCCTTCCGCACAAGCACGCTCTTCCTTCCGCACAAGCACGCTCTTCCTTCCGC